ACAGCAAAACCACCTAATTTTTGTTCATTCCAGAAGAGCAGCTGCTCTCAAGTCCGGGGTTCAGAGCAGTTCGCTCACAAGCCATTTTTATGCATCTAGCATGTTCCAGGCACTGTGACTCATGCCAGATACTCAGAAGTGAAAAGGTTATTCCCAGGTGTACAGCTTAGTCAAGAAAGCAAAGTTATAACCCAGTAGATTAAATATCAGGTTTGAGTGAGAGCTTCAGAGCTTATCCTAGTTCAGTTGAAAGCTGTCCAGGAGATGGGGTGAGAGGGATGCATTAAGAGCCTCTTCCGAACTTGAACATGAACAAGAAGTAGCCAAGTCTTGAGTAAGGGACACACAATGCATAGATATGAAAACTGAACAGTTGTCCAGAAGCCTCAGCAATGTTCTGCGTTTGTGGAACTCCACATTGCCAGTAGGGTATAGGCTACAGAGTAACAGATGCGAGGGCAGCCTTCCACCATCTTACCACACCCTTGGGTCTCCCGTTATTTTCTACCTTAGAACCCAAGGGAGGGATTCACACTATCATTTTAAGTCCTCAGGGTGAAGAGATGATGTCTATGTTACTTGGGATACAAACATTTCCCCCTGAGTGCCATTTGGGAGGGAGGTGATGATGCTTACAGCCTCCCATAATCGGGCCGATTCCATGGTTTCCCTCATTTTCACAGTTAGGGTGGCTTTTGCAGCATCCCAGCTTGAAATGCCTGATAGAGGAATGCAGAAGTATTCATGTCTCTTTCTAGATTTCTCAGAAATGGAGTCTAGAAAATTTCCATAGAATTACAAATTTTTCCTGGGCCCTTTCTCCTTCCCCTTCTCACCATCTGGGTAAGTTTTCTCCAGACTGCTGCTAGCTAAACTCCTAACATCTGGATCAAGCCTCATTTGGGAACATCCCCAATGGAAACTAAAGTGGTTCATGAAAGATCCTACCTTTCAATACAAACCAATTATTATTAAAAACCAATGACTTCAGGTTTTCCCTGAACTCAACCTAAAACCAGAGCCAGGAAGAATGAGGTCTAAAAGCAGAAAATGGACATTTTATACTTAAAATTCATCAACAGAACAAGAAGGAGAAAAAGAGAGAACACTTTCAACCACTAGGTATGAAAAGAGCTATTGGTGAGCATGATGTCATCTCAAAGGTAGAAGTAACTCTCCAAGCTACTCCTTGTCTTCCACACCTATGGTTCTTGCAGTGACATCTCGTAAGATAATTGTCTTTTACTGGAATTGAACCTGCTGTAGCATAGGGCAGTGATCATATTGTAGAACACATTATTTCTACGGGGAGGGAAGAATAGGTCTTGATATTTGATTTGTTCGTGACTGAAGAAGGAGCGATGTAACAGCAGCCTCAGATCGGAAAGTCCCTTTGTTCACTAGGCAGAAGATCAGCATCAAAGGATGCCGAGAGAAGAAAGCCCAAATTACCCAACTTCTCTTGTTTTCCCGAGTGCTGTGTTCATCCTGTGGGACTCTGAGGACACCAGGCTACTGTCAACCTCACAGTCCAGAGTGAGGGAAGGACTCTGGGGTGGAGAGGGCATTGGATCACAAACTGGGAAAGAGAATTCTTTTAGGGTTCCACCCTTAAGAAAACATCATAGGCTTTCAGGAGCAGGTAGGAGGACTTTCTTCCATATTTAGGGTTGAGAGTCATCTTCCTGTCACTTAAGATATAATTTAGGCTCTGTCAGTGTAGTGGTTTCACAAGGAATAACAGAAGGCCAGAAAGAATCTCCTCTGAGGTGACCAGTGCTGTATCTCTATTACTTCACCCCTTATGTTCTGTTCTTTAGCTCAAAAGTCTTGTTTGCATGCTGTTTTTTATTTCAGTGATCACTTTCCTGAGAATATTACTTATCTCTCTAAGTCTCACTTTTGATAAACTACTTAGCATTCTGTACATACCGGAAACATTCCACTTGTCACATGTCTCGAATTTTCTATTACACCCCTAGACAGTGAACATGGTGCAGTAATGTAGCCTTTGTTTTTGAATCACCACATCCAGAATTTGGTACGTGATAACCAGAGTAAAAACAGCATGACTTAACTGATAAAATACAATTTCCAGAGAAGCTGGAGGGAGGAGAGACACTGAATGAATGAATCTCTGGGAGCGTGATCACAAATCTCCTTTCACCAAGACAGAAGGTAGGAGCAGATTCCTACGCATAGCTGGGACCCAGAGGTGAGAAACTGGATGTGGAGTGTAATGCTTACGGAGAGAGATGGTTGGAGTGTGTTCAGAACAACGCAGCTGAAGAAGCAGCAATCTTAAAATCAATTCTGATGCTTTGCTAACTGAGACTTTTTGTTATTTTTTTCTTTTTTGTTATTCTTTCAGTTTTTATCTGAGACTTTTTAAAACAGGGTTTCAGAATATCATTAATTTGACTTTTTTTTTAAAGTTGGTGGAGGTCTTCAGAACCAGACGTATGGAATGGACTTCAATTCCAGCTTAATTATTTATAACCAGGAATTTGTAATTCTGTTTCTGTCAATCTAATGGAACTTAGGTTTTTGAAAGGGCTTTGGACTTCAGTAGGGAAGATGTCATGAATTGAAAAAAAGCTTAAGGAACTCATCTGAATATTAACCAGGGTATTTAACTTGAAGTGGACATGACATAAATAGGCACAAATAGCCGATGGATTGAGTGACACAATATGGCTTGTTCCTATAACCCCCTTGTTACATAACTCACTTCAGAAATGAAAGCACTTTGTGAACATCTGAATTTAGTTAGAGCCTTGGCTTATTGTGAAAACTGTCCATAAAGAGGAGGAATTGAGGCATAAAGTGGCCTAGATTCCCACCTCCTGTTGGCTAACCGGGCAGTTGAAGGTCCATATTCCTTGATAGTCTTCCAAGGGTCACGGGAGGCCAAGGCTAGATTCTCACTGTCATCCCAGAATTTTCTCTACTGCTTCATTTGTTAGGTTAGTGTTGAAAACTTATGAATCCTTTGTATCGTTATTTTATTTGCCACTTACAGAAATTTGCAAACGAGGAACTTAGTGCTCTTGGCCAGCAAGTAGAGACACAAGAATTCGAAAGCAGTCAGTCAGGCTGGACAGGTGGTTCTGGGTGAATTTCATAAAATCGTTTTCTGATATTTTCTCCCATTCGGATGTTCAGAGATTTTTTTGTTTCTCATAATAATGAGGTATTATCAGTCAAGAGTTGAGAATGGGAGCTGTGAAGTTACAGGTTCCCAACATTTTCTTAAGATTTAGCTATCCTTTAGAGAAGATGTTCCCAGGCTCTATAATCAGACAATGACCTTGAGATTCAGGATGTTCAGAAGAGGATCTCTCCTCAGGACCTTGTTCACATTGTCTTACAGGTGGAAAAGATAATAATGATTCCATGTGGGAACCAGAGTTTTGGGACAAGCGAGTTTGTCCTGGCAGGCTTCCCGAATCTGAACGGCACAAGGGTGGAGCTGTTTTCCATGTTCCTTCTTATTTATCTGCTGACTCTGACAGGCAACGTGATGATTGTGGGGGTAGTGGGAGCTGATAGCCGCCTACAGACTCCCATGTACTTCTTTCTGAGTAACTTGTCCTGCCTCGAGATTTTAATCACGTCTGTCATCATTCCTAAGATGCTGAGCAATTTCCTCTCGAAGCGGCATACGATTTCCTTTGCCGCGTGCATCACTCAGTTTTATTTTTACTTCTTTCTTGGGGCCTCTGAGTTCCTACTGCTGGCTGTCATGTCTGTGGACCGTTACCTGGCCATCTGTCGCCCTCTGCACTACCCCTTGCTCATGAGTGGGGCTGTGTGCTTTCGAGTGGCCGTGGCCTGCTGGGTTGGGGGGCTCCTCCCTGTGCTTGGTCCCACGGTGGCAGTGGCCTTGCTGCCTTTCTGCAAACAGGGTGCTGTGGTGCAGCATTTCTTCTGTGACAGTGGTCCTCTGCTCCACCTGGCCTGTACCAACACCAAGAAGCTGGAGGAGGCTGACTTCGTCCTGGCCTCGCTTGTCATTGTATCCTCACTCATGATGACTGCCGCATCCTATGGCCACATAGTCCTGGCCGTTCTGCGCATTCCCTCTGCGTCAGGCCGTCAGAAGGCCTTCTCCACCTGCACGTCCCACTTGATGGTGGTAACCCTCTTCTATGGAAGTGCCATCTTTCTCTACGTGCGGCCATCACAGAGTGGTTCTGTGGATACTAACTGGTCGGTGACAGTGGTAACAACATTTGTGACACCGCTGCTGAATCCATTTATCTATGCCTTGCGCAATGACCGTGTCAAGGTAGCTTTGAAGGACATGTTCAGGAAGGTAGTAGCAGACTTTTTAGGACATTTTTTACTTGTTGAGACTTTGGGTAAGAAAACAGTAAGGGAAGGAACTCAGTCTCAGGTCTTTTTTTAAAATATTTTATTATTTTTATTTTATGTGTCTAAGTGTATTGCCTGCATGTACGTGAGTGCACCCGTGTCCTGCAATGCTGTGGAGGGCAGAAGAGGGTTTCGGATTCCCCTGGAACTGGAGTTAAGGACGTTTTGTAGCCACCATGTGGGTGCTGGGACTCGAACCCAGGTCCTCTGGAAGACCAGTCAGTGCTCTTAACCACTGAGCCGTCTCTCTAGCCCCTCAGTCTCAGGTCTTTATGTCCCCATTGTCCCTTTCCCCTTATCAGTATGAACATCATGAGAAAAGCCAATATTGAACTTCGAAGATATGAAGTCTAAACTTCTCTTTCATATAAAATACATTGATTCTATGTTGCACCTAATATAGCATACTAACTTCTAAAGATTTTTAAAATTTTTTATTTATTAATTTATTTTATTTTATGTGCATGAATGTTTTGCTTGCATGTATATAAGGACACCCATGTCATGCAATGCTCACAGAGGCCAGAAGAAGGCGTCAGATCCCCTGGAACTGGAGTTACAGATGATTGTTAAGCTGTCATGTGGGTGCTGGGAACTGAACCTGGGTCCTCTGCAAGAACAGCCAGTGCTCTTAACCACTGAGCCGTATCTCCAGTCCCCTACTTTTATTTTTTAAGTATGTATGTGTGTGGCAGTGTGTGAGCTTGTGCACATGAGTTCAGTGCCCATGGAGGCCAGAGAAGGCATCAGATTCCCTGGAGCTAAAGTTACAAATTACTGTCAGCCACCTGATCTGGTGCTGGGAACCAAACTCCGGTCTTCCGGAGGAGCTGCAAGTACTCTTAACTGTTGAACCATCTCTCCAACTCAGTGTAGAGCATTTTTGATATATCATGACCAAATGATCGTTTTATCTTCTACCCAGCATCATAAGATCTGAAGTATTTGAACATAAATGAGTTTCTCTGGGGAGGGGTCTATAGCTTTAATTCAACATTTTAGGAATATTTGTGTATATCCTCTCCTCAAAAGTTAAAAACTGGCTGGGTGTGGTGGCACACGCCTTTAATCCCAGCACTTGGGAGGCAGAGGCAGGGGCAGGAGCAGGTCGATCTCTGTGAGATTGAGGTCAGTCTGGTCTACACAGCTCAGCCAGTCTAGACTACATAGCGAGTTCCAGGCAAATCTGGACTATAAAATGAGAACCTGTTTCAGTCTGCCCTCCTCTCAAAAATAAAATGAGGCTGAAGGACTAGAGATTTAGTTGCCCCAAAAGTCATCTTTTTCTAAAATGGAATTAAAATAATATGTTTTTAAAATATGAAACTCCAGGCCAACTGGGGCTACAGGGAGACACTCTCTCCAAAACAAAACAACAACAACAACAAAAAAAACCCCAAAAAACAACACAAATAAAGCAAACAATACCCACCAACCAACTGAACAACAAAAGCCCCCAGTTAAAAACTGATGATAGTTTCAACAGAGGAAATTGTTAATGAAAATCAAGACTATGGAAAAATATAAAAAAGAGGCCTGGGGATACAGCTCATTGGTAGAATGCTTGTCTAGCATGCATGAGGCTCTGGTTTGATCCCCAACACTGCATAAACTGGATATGACAGCGTATGCCTATAATCCTGGCATTTGGAAGGATCAGAAGTCCAATTATCTTCGCCTAAATAAAGTTTGAGGCCAGTCTGGGGTACATGAGATCCTGTCTTAAAAATAAATAAAATACGGGTAGGGAAGGTGGCTCCGTGGGTAAGAGTACTTACTCTGCAAGTACGAGGACTTGAGTTGAAATCCTCAGCACCCATGTAAAAGGTCAGCATGCCTGTGAGTGCTCGAAACTGCAGCCCTGGGTGGACACACAAATCCAAGAGCTCGCTGGCCCACCAGCCTAGGGAAAATGGTGAGCTTCCAGCTCAGTGAGAGAGCCCTTTCCTGCTTTGGCCTCTGCATGTGCATGTAGAGGTGCACACACAGACCACACACACACACACACACACACACACACACACACAAAGGATAATAAATAAAAAATAAACTCATTTGAAATGGTCCTGTTCTTCGGCCCCCCCTTGACTTCCCCTCACTTCCGGTTGCTTTCTTTTGTTGTTTGTGTTTTCTGTGTGTGTGTGTGTGTGTGTGTGTGTGTGTGTGTGTGTGATTTTGATGTCTGTGTATGTGTACGTGTGAGCACGTTTCCGTTTGTGAGTGCAGGTGCACACCTGTGATGTCGGTGCCCACCTTCTATCTTGTTTGAGTCGTGGTCTCTTTGATTCTAGCCTCTGTGTACACCAGCCTGTGATTCCAGACATTCTCCTGTCTGTCTTCCATCTCTGCACAGGAGCACTGGGATTTCAGGTGCTCACTGCTGCACCCCGCTTTGCAGGTTCTTGGGGTCACATCCTTGGGCGAATGCTCTGCCAGCTGAGCCATCGCCCACCCCATTTTTGTTTTCTTTTGCAATTGTATTCTTCTCACTAAAGCTGTTAAATAACAGTGTCTCAAGGGCTTTTTTCTTTTGCCTTTATGCTCTGTCTAGGAAATTTCACCTACACCAAAGTTTTAATGACTACATTTTTGGTGACTGACATATTTTTATCTCTAGGCCTAATCTCTGATCTCCAGACTCAGGTGTCATTGTCTCCATAACACCACAGAGGGGTCTCCAACTCAAATCCTCATCCCTTTTCTCTAACCTTGGTCACTCTTCTTGGGTTTTCATCTCAGTAAATTCAGTTTACCATTATCCATTACATAAATCAAAAGTCTAAAAATTTGACAATTTCGGTTTTCCATCCAATCTGTCACCAGGACTTGACCTTATTCAGTGACCAGCCCTAAGTTTCTCCAATTCTACAGCAACCTGAGTATATATATATATATATAAATTCCTTTTGAGACAGGGTCTCCCTGTAGCCCAGCTGGCCTGGAACTCCTTATGTAAACCAGGCTGGCCTGGGACTCACAAGAGATCAGCCTGCCTCTGCCTCCTGCATGCTGAGATCAAAGGTGTGCGCTACCACGCCTGGCTCTGAGTGACATTTTCAAAAGCACAGTTGGTCACGTTACAGTCATCTGCTCTAACACTGACCATTTAAATGCTTTCAATGTTATGTTACCTTGCTAACTCCACAGCCTAGTTACAGTCTATAAGACATGTTCCACTCCCTGACTGCTTCTCAAATTTCTCAGAACACAGTGTTCTCCACTGCATTCTTATGATTCATATTTCTTATAAATTGGCCTCTACATAATTCCTTCCTTTTGCTAGAATTGTATTTGCTTTTGCAGAGGATCAGGGTTTAAGCACCAGGTATGCACATGGTGCACTTACGTAATTCAGACAAGACATCATATACATTAAATAAATAAATGTCTTAAAAAGATGCAACTGAGACCAGGCCTGGTGGCACATGCCTTTAATCCCAGCACTCGGGAGGCAGAGGTAAGCATACATAGAGGTCTACATAGTGAGTTTCAGGCCAGCTGGGGTTACAGAGAGACCCTGACTCAAAAAGACCAGAAAGAAAAAAAGCAACTGCAACCATTAATGCTTCCAATAACAAAGAATTGAACTCACATTTACAGAATGTTACACTTTCTGTTAAAAAAAAATCTTAAGATATGTATTTTAAAAATATTTTATTATTTTTATTCTATGTGTATGAGTATATTGCCTACATGTATGTAAGTGTACCCATGTCATGCAATGCCTGTGAAGGTCAGAAGAGGGCATCAGATTCCCTGGAACTGTACTTACAGGTGGTTGTTAGCCACCATGTGGGTGCTGGGAACTGAACCCGGATCCTCTACAAGAGCAGCCAGTGCTCTTAACTGCTGAGCCATCTCTCCAGCCCCAAGGCAAGTATTTTTGGCAGGGTTCCTGTCCCACCCAGGATCTGCATGCCCCTCTCCAGTCTTGGCAAAGCAATTCACTCTCTGCCACCTGTTCTCAGCTCAGCCTATGTCTCTGGGATCCTTCCCTGCTGAGACTTGCAAACAAGAGCTTCCCTGACACCTCCCTGCACCATGCCATCTGAGCTCTATGCAGCCCAGACAGTGAGCTCTGACCTAAACCTATCAGCCAGGATTAACCCTGTGGAGTTAATCCTGGAATCTCAGCTCAAAAGCTGCCCCTATCTCTAACTGAACTGAAACCACTTTTTCACCCCATTTGCACATCAACATAGACAGGCTACAGAACTGAACATCGTACACCATTTAGGAAACAACAAACAAGATACAAATAAACATTCATCAAGGACGAGATCGCTTATCCATATCAAGAAGTCACCACATAAGTCTAGATGCCTAGGTCTCGTTAAAAAAAAAACACAAACAACAAGAATGACCAAGATAATATGGCTACTGTAGAAATCAGTACCCCCATCATAAAGTTCCCTGAGAATGGCAACCTAGCGGATGCACATGACAGTGATTTCAAAATAGCAATTATAAATATGTTCAAAGAATTCAAAGACGATATGAATAAAAAGTGGCCAGGTGTGGTAGTGCATGCCTGTAATCCCAGCACTCAGGAGGCAGAGGCAGGTGGATCTCTGTGAGTTCGAGGCCAGCCTGGTCTACATAGTGAGTTCCAGGACAGCTGGGGCTACAGGGAGACCCTGTCTCAAAAAGATCAAAGGGAGGGAAAAAAGTAGACGAATAGTGTAAAAATACAAACAGTTGAATGAAATAACTAAAACAATTCAAAATATGCAAATAGAATTCAATAACAAGGCAGAATCTCTGAAGAAAAGCCAGTCTGAAATAAAACTTGAAATAAAAAACTTAGGAACTCAAACAAACAAACTTAGAGGAAAGAATGAAAAAGGAAGTGGAGGGAACAGAACAGAGAGTGACGGACCTTGAGGACGAGCTGGAGGGAACAGAACAGAGAGTAACGGACCTTGAGGACGAGCTGGAGGAAACGGAACAGAGAGTAACGGGGCTTGAGGGTGAGCTGGAGGAAACGGAACAGAGAGT